CATCTAGTATTTAAAATTAGCTCCTTCAGGCCGGCCCCATGGCGTAGTGGTTAAGTGCACATGCTCTGCTGCTGGCGGCCCAGTTTCGGATCCCGGGCACGCACCAACGCACCCCTTGTCAGGCCATGCTGTGGCGGTGTCCCATATAAAGTGGAGGAAGATGGGCACAGATGTTAGCCCAGGGCTGGTCTTCCTCAGCAAAAAGAGGAGGATTGGCAGGGATGTTAGCTCAGGGCTGATCTTCCTCACAAAACAAATAAAACAAACAAAAAAAATTAGCTCCTTCTAATTATGTCTCCTTGAACATCATTCTCCCTTTCTCTCATTCTCTTCTTTTATCTCCATTTGCTAAGGTATCAGCACATTTTGCAAGTTGAAAGAGAAAACAACATAGACCTGGTGTTTACTAAAGAAAACTGGCTATACCATTTAAATAATTTCTTATGACTAGTCCTTTGAAAGCAAACTGACAAGCAGTAAAAATAAATAAAATACACTTTTTTCTTGCTATAATTTAAAAAGAAATAAGACTCAGAGCAAAGAAACTCACAGTACAAACACTATTTAATGTTAATTTCACCTGCAATTAACCATCTACAGTCTGTTTTAAAACAGAAACATTTTGGAATATTCCGTGCCACTGGTCTTATATTTGGAAGTGCATTGCATCGGGAAGAGCACTGGTCTAGAAGTTAAAATACCTGAGTTTCAGTTCCATTTCTGCTGCCCAGTGGCCACGTGACTTTGAGCATCCACTTAACTACTCTGCTCCCCAATTTCTTCATATGTAGAATGACAAGATCATTCATAAAATGACCTTTAAAGGTTCTTTTCTGGCTCCACAAATTGAAAATTCTATTCCAGGTTAAACTAAACTACAAGTCCCCCAATGTTTTTTGAGGGGAGGATTTTCTTTTTAAAATGTGCGTACACCTCTACCATGAGTCGGGTCTGTGAATGGGATAGGGTAGTCTGCAGTCAGGTCATTTGGAAGGAACTGGAGAGGAGGAAAACAAGCACTTATGTAGTGAAATTTTACATTAACGTCATTTCAAGAGAGGATGAGGGCATGATGGTGCTGGCTGCCCAATAAATAATTTGTCTGGATTCTGTGACTAACAAGTTGGAAATGCCTACTATTTATAGATTCACTGAAGCCAATAATAAAACTGTAAATATTTCTTGTTGAAAGTTAGACCTATAGATTCAGCATTATACTTGAAGAGACAAAAAAACAGCGTTTAGAAACGGTGGCAACACGTTGTACACCTTATCACACAGAGATTCTTCGAGATCTCATTAGCTATTTATATAATCCTAGGGTTACATAATCAGGAATGACTCCCTTCCCTGGGCTAGACTTTACTTGATCTTCTTAAAATGATAGTTTTAGGAAATCAAGATATAAAAGATCAGTCAAAGGGTTATTTTACTATCTCCTTTATTCTGTACCCAAAGGCAACATTCCCTCTGCTAGAGAATCTTTTTCTTTCAAGAAGCTAAGAAGTTCAGGAATGCTGCTCATTTGTCTTAGGGGTGGACATAGCATAGCATCTGCCTGTAACACACAGCCCAGCCCCGTGGGAAACACCAGACGACTGCTTCAAAGAAGGAGTCCTAGGCTTCTCAAAACATGAGATCTTCACGGAGCAACAGCTCACTGCTCTCGGAGTTTGGATTTTTGCCTGATTTTATTTCATATAATCCACCTATTCTCAGGAAACCTGAATTTGCCTTTTGCCTTGTTTGTCTCTTACCCTTCATCTCCTGAGGCTGGGCTCTCTGCTTCTGAATTTTCCCTGGTTTTCTGCCCCATGTAAAAAAAATTATTAAGAATTTCAAGACATTGCAGAGCATTAAACCAAGTGCAGTGCAGGGCCCGTCTAAGCAAGGGGCCCTTTAAGAGCAGGGCCTTGTGCGACTGCACAGGTCACACACACACCAATGAAGCTGGCCCTGATCTTGATAAATGTGACTTGAAAAAATAAATGCCTTCTACTGATGAATGATCTCTATTTTCATTTCACCTTATCTGTCAGTTATATAATCTTATTCAAGATCTTTTAAATGGAGTAGCCCCACAAACACGTGGCTTAAAGGAAGCCGCCAAGAAAAAATAAAGTAGGATATCAAGACTTACAGAGGCAACTTCATGCCATTATTGTGCACTAATTGGAAAAGAGTGATTATTCAACCTATTCTTAAGCAAACGACAATTCATTTGTTCTTACTATTTATTCAAATGCATTACTCTTCCTCTTTTAGGTACAAGGAAAGTATGGTAATAAATAGCTACCAAGTAAACGGTTGTTAGTACTGTTGGAATAATTCTTAGGTATTTCACATTGCCAAATGCCATCCAAGAAATACAGCTCAGCGACGAACATATTAAGATTTAAGTTACAATTTTCCTAATTTATATTATGCATTAAAAATGTAATTACAAACCAAATTTTAAAAATAACATATCTCTATAATCCTTAAGTTTCAGAAAGCCTGTAAACCAATAATCAGATAAGAAAACATTGTGTGACTATCAAAATCTTTTCTTTTCTTTTCCATTTTTATCTTCCTTTTTCCACCTTCACTCATTTTGCTCACCCTCCACACCCCAAAATAGTTTGTATGAAAAATAACAACCTATTTTACCTACTATGTAAAATTGGACACGATCAGAGCTAACTAGAAACGGTTCACAAGGTTTAATTATTTACTGCTAAAGAATGATATTACAAATTAAAGGTGCCGAGTCTGAAATGGCAGTCCAGCCCCTGATATTTTAAGTTTGTAATCAAATCTCTCCCTGCAGAACAGGGTTTACTAGCCTTGCCCTGAGGTGCTCTCATTCCATTCATGGTAGAACCCATTATTTAGCATTAGTTATCATAATGATTAGTGCAGTATCACAAGCACACTCAGACTCAAAAAACTGCAGCCAACACTTTATTACTATCAAGATTACTGCACCTTGGAAAGGAATAGTTTCATGTGCAATTACAAAACAAAATAAAATAACAGAGTCCAAGACAAAGGCACTAGGTCTGACGTATTTACACTGCTACCTGTTGCTACATGTAAGGGTTGGTTGGAGGGAACGTATTGTTGGTTTCAGTGACATTAACATTTGCATGGAGTTTGAGTCTATGCTGTAATAAATTTAAAGTAAGACACGTCTTGTCCTGAAAGAGCTGACAGTCTAGTATAAGAACTAAGGTAGATACAGAAGAAAAAGATTTTCAAACATTCTCATAAAACAATATGAATAAATTGAAGAATCATAGAATCTTGAAAGTTCCGTGCTAGAGTAGAAAAGAGTCAGAAGATACTTGGATTTTATTGGCTTTGCAATTTTCTCGCCCTGTGACCACAAGTTAATCAATTACTCACTCAAGGTGACCAGCATCACTCACCTGGACTACTGCAATCGCCTCCTAACTGTTCTACTTCCATTTTTTCCTCCTTCCCTTTAATCCATCCTCCACAACATAACCAGTATCCTTTTTAAAAATGTGAAACAGATCATATCACCTGTATGCTTCAAACTCTCCAATAGCTTCCTATTACTTTTAGAATAAAACCCAAACCCTTGGACGTGGCCTAAAAGGCTCTGTATTGTCTGGTCCCTGTATACCTGCTCTGACCTCATTTCCTACCACTTTCCTCCCTGCTCACTGTGCTAGGAACACACAGGCCTTTTTGTTATTCAGTGGTATCTAGCTCTTTCTTGCCTCTGGTCCTTTGCATGGCTTGGAATTGTCATTGTGTAGGTAGCTCCTTATCATCATTCAGGACTAGCGTCAAATGTCACATCTTCAGAAAGACTTGACTTCACTACCTCCCTCATCATCATTTTAGATCACGATATCCTATTCCATTGTCTTCATTGTACTGATGGTTATCTGAAATTTCCTTATTTATGTATCTGTCACATGATTATCTCCAGAGTCCAGCAGTGGAAAGCACACGCCATAACAGAAGTGATCTTTGACTCTCTCTGTGCTGTAGCCCCAGTAGGTTGAACAGGGTCTAGCACATAGTAAGAGTGCAATAAATAAAATAAATGTTGAATGACTTAAAGTCATTTAACTTCTCAGGCCTTCACTTTCCTCATTCATAAAATGGGGATAATTATACCTGTTCTGGTCATTAGAAATAAAGCCTGACGTTTACTAAATTTTTACTATGCCTCAGGCACTGTGTAAATGAGAAGATGCATATTCTTTACATGCATCTTTTCATTTACTATTATGATTCTCCCTTTACAAAGAAGGCCACCAAATCTTAGATCAAATAACGGGGCTAAGGACACAAGGCCAAAACGAGGACTCAGGTATGCACCTAACCTCAGAATCTGAGCCCTTAACCACTACTTCCTAGAAAAATGCTTCCTTCCGTTACAGCAAAATCGGCTTCGCCGTCCGTCCCCCTCAGGTGCTAGTCTGTCCCGTGGGACAACGGAAGAAAGCTATTACATCCCCCACGCGCCTCTTTCCCAAGATGAACATCCCCATTTCTTTCAATCCTTCCTTAAATGACCCTCATATCCTGGTCACTCTCCTCTAAACAAACTTCAGTTTGACAACGTCTCTCCCGCTACAGAAGCGGTGATGTTCACTGGGCAAGTAGTTAAGCGGCATCAGACAGAGGAAGCCGATTCCCAGGGGCTGAGAAAATGCAGATGTGCGAGTGCTCCAACGGGCTGTGGTTAACACAGGAAGGCTTCCCGGGAGAGGCGATCCCTGAGCCCAGGTCCAGGGCAGTAAAGAGCAGGCCGGCGGCCAGAGGACCCCGAGTCAAGGGGCCGTGGGAGAGCGGCCGCTGGGGGCCGCCAGGTCGAGACAAAGGTTGGGGGAGTTTAGGAAGATTAGGGACACAAGCCCAAGCGATGATGCGCTTGCACGCGGAGGAGCGTAAGGCGTTTTCCTACACGTTAAGTTAGTCAGGTACTGGAGGAAAGCAAAGCGGGATGAACGGTCACACAGCAAAACGCGAACTTACCCCCAACCTGGCAACCCAGCCGCCGTAGCGCGACTACAAACACGGCGGCTTGAGGAGCCTGGTAGCCAAGGCAGCGGCAGGCTCCATCAGATATCGCGAGATAGAGCAGGCCTCGCGAGATCTGACCTCTCGTCCCTGACAGGCGGGCGGTCTTTCCGGGCGGTATGGGAGGGCTTTGGTGTCCGGGCTGGAGGCGCGTCGTTTTATGTGGCTGGCGCTGCGGCCACCCTGGCTCCTCGACTAGGGTTGTGGAGAGGGCAGAGCCGCGTCTCAGGCCGGGGAGGAGTGGGACAGGAGGTGCTGAGAGGGGGCTGAGGCGGCTCGGGACATGGAAGCGCCCGAGCCCGGCCGGGCAGCTGGCCGTGCAGCCACCGCGGCGGCCGAAGAGCACGAACCCCTTCACGCGCGCGCAGGAGGAGGACTGGCGCCGGCGGAACAAGACCGTCCTCACGTACGTGGCCGCGGCCGCCGTCGGCATGCTGGGGGCCTCCTACGCCGCCGTGCCCCTCTATCGGCTCTATTGCCAGGTAGGGGCCGGCGCTGCCCGCGGGGCGGTGTCGTGTTGGAAGGGCTGGCCGAGAGTACCTACCGCAGAGGAAGTAGACTCAGAAAAGTGACTTGCCCAAGGTCACCGGGGAAGTTAGTGGCAAAGCTCCAAGGAGAACCCAGGCCCCTATAGTGATCGTGCTTATGCCAACCACACTGCGGAGTGAAATTCCCTGATCTCTGAGCCACACCTCGCCAAAATCCACCATACCCTCCTGGTCACACACGTGGCCGCCTTTAAAATATACTTTATTTTAATGCATTCATTCTATGGATCACGTAAGGTTTATGTGCGAAGGCTAACCCTGGAAATGGGAGTGTGCGTGTTACTTGTGCTTAAACTGGGAGTAGCCTTTTGTCTATACAAACAGGCCTGAATTAGGCCTTCGAGGCCCACCCCACTCCCCCACCTCCGCTGTTAATATATAGTTGTAGTGTGCTTACCCTGGGCTCCGTTTTAGATCCGAAATTAGTGTAGTCGTTCTCAAAGTGTGATCCCCGGGCATCAACATCGCCTGGGAACTTCAGTGCAAATTCTTGGGCCCAACTCCAGAACTACTGAATCAGAAAACTCTGGGGGCAGGGCCCAGCAATCTGTATTTTAGTAAGTCCTCTAGCTGATTTTGATACAGACTAATGTCTTTGAACCACTGGTAAAGGCAAACTTCACCTATTTCATATATATCCTCCTTAGTTCTTAAGTAGTAGTTTGCTGCTTTGGCTGGGCATTAGGATCACTAGTGGAGCTTAAATAAACGTGCCAGGGCTCCCCCAGCCCAGAGATTCTCATTAGGAGTCTGCGTAGGGGCCAGGAATTTGTTTAAAAAACATGCCACAAGTGAGAGCTACACATTGGGTTCCTTCAGTAAGTGTTTGAGAGTGGTTCTCAAACTTTGTCGTACATGGGAATTACCTGGAGAGCTTTTAAAAAGCGAGATACCCAGGTCACATCCCTAACCAATGAAATCCATGTCTTGGAGTGGGAGTCAGGCATTAGTACTATTTTAAAGATTCCTCACGTGATTCCAGTGTGCAGCAAAATTCAGGAATCAGTGGTTAACTGCTCTTTCCTGCCACTATTGTTAATACCTGGTTTACTTCCGCTGTCCTTAGGGAGATTAACTTGCCTTTATTTTCCATGAGGACTGAAGCAGCAGAAGTCAAAAGGACTTTTCAGTCTCCTAATATCAGCGTTTATGTGGGAAAGTGCAATAACTTGATTTCTGGAGGATGAGTGGAGAATGTGAATTAGTTTTCATCAGAGGCCAGCCTGGACCAAGCATGAATCCCAAAACTACCAGTTGGTTAAATCATAAGCAGAACTGAATCCAAGGCGGCCAAGTACAGATCTCTGCAAACCACGGAGGGAGGAGGGTGATCGATTTTATTTTTCAGGGAATGTTTAGCAGTGTCTGAAGACATTTTTGGTTGTCACGACCTAGGAGGTGAGAGGGGAGGGTGCTACCCGTGTCTAATGGGTAGAGGCTAGGGATGCTGCTAAACATCCAACACTGCACAGGACAGACACCCCACCCCAAAACAACAAAGAATTATCCAACCCCAAATGTGATTAGTGCCAACGTTGAGAATCCCTGACCCAAACTGAAGTCAATGACAACATTTTGTGCACGTGTATGCAAGCTCAGGGCAACAAATTAAAAACAATTGTGTTTTGCAATCTAAACCTAAATCACAGTTGGATGTTAGTGACATTTCCAAAAGAGCATCTCTTTCACTTTTGGAATCACAGAACTTTGGAGCCAAAAGTCAGAGATTATATAAACCACTTTATACAGTGACTTCATTTTATGAGTATGGAAAGTGTAGCCCAAGGAAAGTAAGATTTATTTAGTTCTTGGAGCTATTTAGTGGCAGAACTAGACTAGAGCCCAGGACATATTTTCTTTTCAGTGCCCTTTTCTGTTCTTTGTTTAATTTCTCTAATCATCAAACTTTACAAATTTGAAGACTTTATATTCAAAGACTGTCGGAAAGAATGCATTAAGGAATCTTCATTGAAGTGACTAAAATTCTTCAGGAAAAGGAGTTATACTTAAAACTTAGGCATTGTAGCCCTCTTGCGCAGAAGTATATACTTAGCTATTAAACAAGGATAAAGAAAGGCTTGTCCTCTGATGCATCTTTTAGGGTTATAATGGAGTTCGATAGTGTTGCATAGCAGCTGAGTGAGGCTAGTTGACTTGTAACAAGCAGAAGATAGTAATACTATATTTTGCTGGGAGTCTTCCCCTAGCCTCAAATTTGGTATTTTTTTCCTAGTATAGTAACACATTAATTGTCCGAAGACCAGAATTCTGGCAACCTCAAGCATCAGAAGAATGATGACCCTGGAAGTAAGGATTTTTTTTTTATGCATCTCTGATAGAGAAATAACTAATGGCAGTGGAGATAGGCAAGAAATGTCAGATATAGATTATCCTGATGCATTATGATTAGTTGATTCCATGGCCAAAGGGATCAGGTTCTCTGATTAATTGATGATATCTGTAAAAGCTGTACTATACAAAAAATACAAAAAAAAAATTTACACATTTACCATCATGGGGAAAATACTTATGCTGCTTGAGAAAAGCAGACTACAGAAGTGAAGCTACAAACTAATCTGTGCTATAAAAGTTATGATATGGGAAAAGACCATATAGGAATGTGGAAAATGGAATTATTTAAATTTATTGAAATGACAGGATTGTGGGTAGATTTTTTCTATTAATAGTTGATAGGAAATACTAGCAATAAAGGGAAGTATCTGAGCTGTATTATCACTGGAGAGCCCACTCTCTTCCAAATGACTCATTTTTTACCATATGAGATAATGAAGTGATTATTGAAAAAATATGACTTTAACAAATATAGGCCCTTGATACCCCAAAAGTGGGCAAACCATTGATACATTCATAGGGAATAGTCAGTGATAGTATATAAACTTGGCTTCTGCTGGATTATTTTAAGTTGTTTTTAAAACTTTGTTTTTATCCATTAAATAGATCATCAGCACCTAAAAGTATTGTTTAACATATTATACTTTAATATCTTGTTCTAGACTACTGGACTGGGAGGATCAGCAGTAGCAGGTCATGGGTCAGACCAGATTGAAAACATGGTGCCTGTTAAGGATCGCATCATCAAAGTCACCTTCAATGCAGATGTGCACGCAAGCCTCCAGTGGAACTTTAGACCTCAGCAAACAGAAATATATGTAAGTGATTAAAGCCGTTATTACAAGATTCCTTTTGTCAATGTAAAAATTCCTTTATTTCATCACTTAAAACTGTTTAAATGATTTAGGAAACACTCATCTAAACTTAATTTCAAAATACTGACTCCATTACTGTAATTTTTATTCCCACCGACTACTTTTTGACAGTGCCCTACACCTAATGTAATGGAATATACTTGAAGTTTCATGGTACTATAGTAACACTCAGTTTGGAACAAGGGAACATGTCTGTTTTTATTAGAATCATATTAAGAGTTCACGAAGAAGTTCTCTGGTCACTAATCTTGAGAGTAGGAGTAGCTGTCATGCTATGTAATTGACTTTTCCTCAGGAATAAATGATGTAGGAAAAATGTTGAAAATCATTGGTTATAATGAAAAGTAGTTTACTGATTTACATCAAAAGTATCCCAGTCCCTTAAAAGAAAAATTTGAGGACCTTTGAAGTAATCATACTAAACAGGTTATACTTCAGAAACACTACCTGTTAAAGTTTTCTTAAAATCTTGACTAACTGGAATCCTAGAGGATTTAACTGAAATTCTCTCATGAACTGAGGAATAGTCAGAAAAGCTTAATCATAACTCTTATTGGAAAACTCTTAAAAATATTAGTCCTTCCCCAGGTTGGTAAACATGACTGAATCTCTTGAGGATTTTATAGCTTATGATTTTGAATATTAGTTCCAATCACATAGTAGTATACAAGGTACTAGTGGCTGAATTGGTACAAATGGCAGTGCATGCTTTGGAAATTGATGTTTTTTTTAAGCCTTGCAATTTATTTTATCTGTTATTCTCTTGAAAAAAAGTATCAGTGCTTTTTGGTTAAATAAAAGTTCTATTCATTCAGAGTTTTACTCTGGTTATAAGTTTAATTTACTGTGGTTGTAAGCTAAGTTTAATGTTGGTAACCTTTTAAAAAGAATCTTGAGTCAATCATATGATGATATTCAGGGATAAGTATTAAGAAGTTAGGCTTGGGCTGTGATAGGCTTGGCTTGTCCTTGAACACATTCTAAATAATTTGTGGATTATTGCTCGAAGACTTCAGATATACAAAAGGACAATCCATAACAAAGTATGAATAGAGCATTGGTTCTTCACTGACATGCAAGTAAAATCTGAAAATCAGATGTTCATGGGTAGTATTCACTACTTTGCTGACCCTTAACATGAGATTAGGTACTATGGTCTGATGGATAGGAAGAATAATACAACTCATACAGTAGGGAAAGGAGGTGTGTGAGATTTAAAGTATTGATAATGTATATTTTCCTTAAAACAGGTGGTGCCAGGAGAGACTGCACTGGCTTTTTATAAAGCTAAGAATCCTACTGACAAACCAGTAATCGGCATTTCCACATACAATGTTGTACCATTTGAAGCTGGGCAGTATTTCAATAAAATACAGGTATGATAAATGCAAACTTGATAGAATCTGATAAAAGTATATAAAATTTAGTACTAAATTTACTGCAGTGTTTTAGTAGATACTAATTTCTGAAAATTTATTTCTTCTAAACTTCAAACTGTTTTTTTCTTTTGCTTATGACAGCTGTGCAGAGGTTGAGAGCCAAATCATAAGGATATCTGCTTTTAAGATTAGAAGAATTAATTTGTTGATTCAGTCCTTAAAGCAAAACTCAATCTGAGATGGAAAGATGCTGCTATCCTGTCACAGAACTTAAAGATTATATTTAACACTTGGCTTATTAAAGCCATATTAGTTTCTATTATAGATAATAGAATGGAAATATTAATAAACAAATACCTTTCTATAACTTCTAGTGCTTCTGTTTTGAAGAACAAAGGCTTAATCCACAAGAGGAAGTAGATATGCCAGTGTTTTTCTACATTGATCCTGAATTTGCTGAAGATCCAAGAATGGTGAATGTTGATCTCATCACTCTTTCTTATACTTTTTTTGAAGCAAAGGAGGGATACAAGTTGCCGGTTCCAGGCTATAACTGAAGTCAGCAACTACGTCCTGCTTCAAATTTGTGATTTTTGAAAAATCATGTATGTTATCTTCTCAGAGGAGAAATATTCTACAATGTGAAGCCTTCTATTTTAAATATTATGTACTGATGGTTCTTTTTTTCCCAACTAATTTATCCTACTTAAAATTGAGAGACTAGATTCAGCTTTCTAGCATAAGAAATCTACAAGCCTATTTAGAATGTATGACTGTTCAAAACCATACTTAGAGTTTGTTAAGTAGTATTAAAAGAAACTGCTTTGTTTCTTAAATAGGTAGGCATGGACTTGATGGTTCAGCTAATTCACCAGTCCCCTTCCAAATTATTAGCACTTCATACTTGTAGCAATGAATTTTTTTTTAATGCCTAGGGTTATTTATTTTAGACTCTAGGTCAGAACTTCTGACCGTTTTCATTATTTCTAAAATAGTTGGTTACTATTTTAAAAGCTCAAAATGGAAGAGGAATCGCTGAGTCCTACCAGCTTGCCCAAAGGTTACATTCTGATTTCAAATTTGACTGTATTTTTCCTTTAAGATCTAGGGCTATTTTACATTCAGAGTACTGAATAATTACTTTGAAATTTTGGTATCATGAAATTGAAATAAAGTGCATAAGTGTATCTACTAGGCTTCTAGCATTTCTTACGATAGTTCCAAGTCCCTAAATGTTAAAATGTTAAGTGTGGGATTGTGAAGATTTACTGACATCAGTTCTTCTCTGAATAAACTCTGTAAAAAAGATGTATTAAATTGTTTTAATAGTAATTTGTCATTGTAATTTATGACATAAATGAATGCACAATTTATTATGTTTTCCAGTAGTCTTTGTTCCAAATAGAAATATTAAATTGCAGTAAAAAGGAAAAAAACAATTAGTATTATAAAGAATCATATTTAAAGGCAATCCGATGTGGAGTCCAATGACTTCTTCAGAGTACCTGAAAAATAATTAAACTACAATCATCAAGGCTTTTATAATTCATAATTCTAAACGAGTATTATTTATAAAGAAGTGCAAATTGACTTTTACATTCAACTTTAGTTAAATGAAGGCACTCAGGATTCTTCCTGAATAATATAGTTTTGCACATTTCATGCTTAACATCTATTCAGAATTATTTTGTAATCTTCATCTCCTCTTATCACAGCTGTGCGATGATTTCTAATATAGGAAGGTCTGTGAAACATAAGATGCTACAGTTAACATGGTTGGCCTCAGTAAAACGATTTTTTCTTCTGCTGAAGTTTTAAGTGAATATATGTTACAACCAAGTTCTTGTGAGATAAAGCTTGAACTGCTGTCAGGAACCATAAATGTTACTCTGGAACGGTTACTCTTCTTTTTAACCTTCATTATTACAGAGGAGAAATGTTCCGCCATGGTTTTGATGTGTTGTTAGGTCTTGTCTTCTGGGCCTCAAAGGTGGCCAGGGGCTATCTTTTAGAGAACTGGCACCCTTAACGCAGCCAGTGAGCTGGTCATTCACTTTCACCTAGAATAAAAAGATAGTCAACCATCTCCATCCTTTCCTTCTCTTTCCCCATTCCTTGATAACTAGAGTCTAGTAGAGAAAAGGTGGGAATGTACTACTACCGTTGGGGAGGATGTGAGGGGAATAAATAAGGTTAATAGGTTACTAGTGGTCGTGCATTCATTCATAAATAGAATGGGATGACTAGTACAGCAAATAGAATCCAGACCTATCTGCACTAAGAGTGAATGGGTTCTACCAATCCCAGTTAACAGGTATTAGCTGCCCATAAAAGACAAATGTCTGATTCCAGTGCTAAGAAGGTTTTATTGATCATCTATTTTTATTAGCATTAATATTTCTATACCATAAACCAACTTCTGCATTCATAAGATTATTTTTAGCTAACAAGGTCACAATGTATTTCATTAGTGAACAATAGTTCATTACACTTTGAGTGATTCAGAGGGATTTGTATAATATTTCACTCAAAGTGTCAGAGATTCAGATGGCTCTTACAAAATATAAATACCAAATACAGAAAGTGATAATTACACTGAAATCATGTAGAATGTAAGTTGTGTAAATTGAAGTCTTTACCTCAACAATCACTATGACTTTGAGCTTATTTTTGGTGATGAACATCAATTTCTTCATAAATAGCTCTGAAACAAATAAGTCATGGCAAAAGGGTTATATATCTGTTTCAAAGTACTATTTTGGCTTTTAATTGCCAACACCTTAACTAAAAATCTGGTGCTGTTTTAGGTGTTCAGGCTATCTCAGTGAATAAAAACAAAGGTCTCTGCCCTGAAGCTTACATGATAGCGTTCTTAGATCATAATGTTGTAATTCCCATGCATCTTATAGAGCCAATTCATTTTACTTGTGATTTAATGAAAAATGGCTCAAATTTGGACAATTTGCTTTCTGCTATAAAAAAAAAAAGCAAAAATTGTTCAGCTTTTCCTGGCTTCAAAACATTTAAAAAAAAATTAATATTCCAGCTTATTTAACCTATGTTGTTATAGTCCAAACTCCTGAGCCACCTTTAACTTATGACTTATCTTTGTACCTTGTATATAGTAATTTTTCTATGACATCTTTCAGTTCTTTATATGTGTCTTACATATGTGTGTAGCTAGAAAATATCTATACCTACAAACGACATTCATACACAATATGGTAAAACATGGCTCAGGAAAACTCGAAAAATTGTAGCACCCTAAGCCATGATCACCAACTTGATAGTCCAGAAATTTTAATATGTTTCTCCAGTAAGTTTTGTCTCATTTTCCAGAAAACTGTTTCAACCTCCTTTACTCTCCTCAAGTCTCTGATCCCCCTCCTCTCACTCTCAGTCAGAAACCTCACTTAATAAATTAAATGCCTTGACAGCGAGACTTCCTCATCTTCCCATCAACAAATCTTCAAGTCTATTTTCATCTGCACCATCATCTACTTCTGTGATACTATCAATCCCTGGCTTCTCAAACACTTCACTTGGTATCTGCCTTCTGGAACTGAACCTTCAACCTCTCCCTCTCTACTGGATCCTACCCTTTAGCATTCACAGATGCTCCAGCATCTCTCATTTTATAAAACAATACCATCCTTAATCCCATGTCTCCTTAGAGAAATCCCCTCAGTAATCCTCTAGCTGCCAAACCACTTTCCATCATCCCTTCATGTTTAAGTTTCTAGTGTCATCTGCACTTACTGTCTCTGCTTCATCTCTTACAAGTAAACACACTGACATTTGGCTTCTGTCCCCATCAATCTACCAAAATGACTTTTACTAAAATCACCAATGATTTCCTGTTATTTAATCCATTAAATAACTTAGACCCCGGTGGTCTAATGGTTAAGATTCAATGGCATTAACAACAAAAAATCCGTTATCTAGTTTTCAGTCCTCCTCAAGTCCTCTCAGCAGTGTTCATCACAGTTGTGCATTCCCTTCTTTTTGTTTCCAAATTGCAATTTCTGTATCTGGTAATAGGTTCCCTGTTGCTCTCTTTGCTTTTGACTTTGGCTTTTCCATTTCCTTGAATGTGCCAAAACTCTTTCTCCTCAGAGTCTTGGTATACTTTGTTCCCTGGGCCTACAACGCTGATTCCTAAACTTCTTACTTGACTAACACTTGCAGGTCTCAATTTTAATGTTACTTCCTCTAACCCTCATTTAACTTGGATCTTCCTGTTATACACTGTCAAGTCACCATATTATTTCATACCATTAACACAAATACATGTAATTTAATTTCTGTCTCCACACTAGATTTAACCTCTCTGAGGACAGGGAGCATGTCTCTTGTTCAACATGATAAGATTAGGTACCCAGTCATTGTCCCTGGCACATAGTCAATGTTCAATGCATTTGTCAAATGAATGAATTGTGTGTATGTATATATCTTCATAAATATTGTACTTTATGTCCTGCTAGAGCAGAAATTCTTAATCTTGGGTTCATGGACAACCAGTGACGTGAAAATCCAAGAACTTTTCTGCAAGATTTTGTGCTTTTCTTCAGAGAGAAGTTCCCTGGATTTCATGCGACATTCAAAGAAATTGAGACACCCTACCCCCAGAAAGTAAGAACCACAATGGTAGACAATTCCAAAGCTTCACTTCTCCAGGTTCCTAGTATCTCTCTCATCTTTAATATCTGTTGCATTGCCATATCTACTTACAACCTCCTCCTAATTAACTGGAATATAATAATAAACTTTTCCACTTCCTATTTGGATGCAAAAACTGATTTAAAAAAATTCAGTTTCAGGGCTGGCCCAGTGGCATAGTGGTTAGGTTCACGCACTCTGCTTTAGCAGCCTGGGGTTCATGGATTTGGATCCTGGGCACAGACCTACACACCACTCATCAAGCCATGCTGTGGCAGCGTCCCACATACAAAAATAGAGGAAGACTGGCACAGATGTTAGCTCAGGGACAATCTTCCTCAAGCAAAAAAATAAATAAACAAATAAAAATTTAGTTTCCAGACAGCATGCCTAGTTTAACCGATTTCTAATTCCTTAAACCTTTAGTATATTCAGCAATACAGTCATGCGTTGCTTAACAAGGATATGTTCTGAAAATGCATTGTTAGGCAATTTTGTCATTGTGCAAACATCATCTAGTGTACTTAGACAAACCTAGATGGTATAGTCTACTACACACCTAGACTATATGGATCTAATCTTAGGGGACCACTGTCATATATGTGGTGCACTCTTGACTGAAATATCATTATGTAGCACATGACTGTACCTGATCAAGCAGAATGACTTAGGGAAATTTCAGAATCCTAAGTTAGGAAAAAATATTTAATGAACTCCTAAGTCTATTAAGATTTATTCATAAGGTATTCCACAATGGATCACTACATTGAGGGCTTAAACCAGGGGTCAAAACCTCAAATGCCTACATACGCCAGGCAGATCAAATGAATGGACGCAGGGGGCCAGGTGCAGGCTGGTGGACTGCAGAGCATGCCTCATCTTATGGAAGCAGCCACTACTCAGCCCCAGCATGTTGCTAGCATTTAAAAATGCAGGCCTGCTGTTGCCGTGGTATCCAAAACAATCTAGAGGTCTAGATATTTTTGAAATATCCCAGTTTTTAACTGTTGGCAATTAATTTTTAGATGTATATTTTAAATACCACATAGGTCAAACAAAACACGGCTGCACACAAGATACAGCCTGCAGGCTGCCAGTTTCTGAACAATGATTTCCATAAACTTGCTTTAATCATTTTTAACAATTTTGGGGGTAACCTTCAGTCAATCAGGGCATATTAAAGCTCTAATGAGCCTACCATCCCATAAATATATATACACTTGACCAATATGAAATCTTAAAATAATGGTGATTTCAGGATTTCAAGTTAAAAAGTAATTTTTACACAAATGCTTTATTAACCTATTTTAAGCACATTGTCGTCATATGTAGTGAAGATTAAAAACAAGTTCTTATATAAGTTTTTTTGGGATTAGTAGTCAAAGAACGGCTAAAATAGCCCATCGATGTGGTGTCACTTATGTCACCTATCAGTGACTAGTGCCCTTCTCAAGCTGGAGAGAGCCTGATTTTCTGCCAAGGCATCTATGAGGAATCCATTAATGCACACGATGGTTCTGGTTGTTTCTTAGTGTGCAACCCCAGAATTTTTATTTTTCAGTCACAAGGCCGAGAACAATAAGACCATTAAGAGCAATAACCTCCATAAAACCTCCTAAGTCATTTTTAATAAGGCCATCAATTTCTGCCAAGACCTAAACAAAGTTAAACAAATAATCAAGCCATGTTAGCTCGGCTACCAAAGGGAATCAAGACAAAAAATAAATTAATCATTTTGTAAATGACTTACTCTGTAGCGACAGCAGGAGCTAAGGGATCAAACTCCATTACCTCGTAGTAATTGTGTGGCTGGAGATCATTCTCTGTCACTGCTTTAGGCAAAAAAAAAAAAGACCTGTAAACACACATTGTGCTTTTCGAGGAGATATGCACGGTTAATAGTCTCTATGATTTAGATTTCAAACATAACATTCTAACAAACACTGACAACCAGAAACAAATATACTGGCGTTCCAATGCTACTCCCAAGTGCAACAAATCTATTTATCACAAAAAGATTTCCAAACTTCAGCTAAAGCTTCATTTAGCTTAGTGATCAAAATACAATCTTCAGTGCAACACAAGCATTTTTACAATCTCCTAATGTCGGTCATAATGGTATCTGAACTGAATTTACTTCATGTAGCTTAAAAATGCAAATGAACTCTAATTTTTCTCCTCTTTATATTTTCAATTATCAGTAAATCTTTGGCCGACTCATATATTCTCACAAGTTTCCTTATTTGATACAAATAATAAGGTCTCAAGTACCTGGGTGATTGCTGGGCAAGGATGGCAGTGTCTGGTTTGATGGCGTTGCTGGAATGGTCTGTAGGCTAACCGGCTGTAGTAATACTGAATTTGAATGTTCTGGAAGCTGAAGAAAGTATAGTACATGTTCAAATAAACGTTCTACATTAAGCTTTTCTTTTTCTATTATTTAGATTCCTAGGCTTCCAAGTGGCACTATTCCAAGAATCATCTATTCTCAACTGGGCAAGAATTAGTAATTATTAACTATTACTTTAGTTTTTTAGGTAATAACTACTTATACAATTTACTGCTTTTCTGTCTGATTTCATTCCCATTGCACTTCATTTCTCATATAAAATGTACAATTAAAAAAAAAAGTGTTGCTTTAAAAAAGAGCAGCAGAAAGGTACAGCTCAGTCCAGATTCTGTTGTTCCACATTGAATATAAAATCTTAGCTTCAAACAGGACAAAAAACAATCTTAACTACAGAGAGGCAGAAGGTGATGATATCAAATTAGGACTGATAAGGATTAAAGTCTTAATTGGAAATCTCTCTTCTTGTAATTTTCCTCATTCATTTCACAAACATGTCCTGGGTACCTATTAGATGCCGGGTACTATAAATAAAGCAATAAATGAAACAGGCCCAATCCCTGCCCTCATGGAGCAGACAATCAACAAATGTGAACACATGTCAGATGGCAAGTGCTCTAAGAAAAAAGCAAGGTAACAGGGAGAGACAGGGTAGGCAGAGTAGGTGGGGTGGGATGTTGCTTTGATCATAGAGGTCAGGGAAGCCTCACCACTGGGACAATGAGCAGCGCCCTGACTGAAGTGGGCCCTCTAATTATCTGAGGGGACACAAGGTCAGATGCTCTGAAGCAAGGGAGGCCAGTGTGGCTGAAGCAGACTGCACCAAAGGAGAGAGGCGAGAGGTGAGGTTGGAGACGTAATGGGAGGGGTCAGATCCGCATTTCACACTTTTACTGAGTAAAATGGAGTGAGCAAGAAAATCATAGACGCATTTAGAGCAAATGAGGAATGTAATACGACTTTACTTTTTAAAAAAGATTGCACTGGGGGGCCGGCCCTGTGGCTTAGCGGTTAAGTGCGTGCGCTCCGCTACTGGCAGCCCGGGTCTTCCGGGCGCGCACCAACGCACTGCTTGTCCAGCCATGCTGAGGTGGCATCTCACATACAGCAACTAGAAGGATGTGCAACTATGACATACAACTATCTACTGGGGCTTTGGGGAGAAAAAGGGAAAAAAGAGGAGGATTGGCATGGATGTTAGCTCAGGGCTGATCTTCTTCACAAAAAAAAAAAAAAAGATTGCACTGGTTTCTGTTTTGAGAATAGATTGTAAGGTGGGCAGTAGAGGTGAAGAGGGAAGTGAAGGCTGCAGAAGGGCAACCCGTAGGAGGCCACTGCAATATCCTTCTGATGGTGGCTTGGATGGGATGTAGAAGTGGAGGTGTGAGAAGTGGCTGGATAACGGATATATCTTGAAGGTAAAAAGTTAGAGATCAAGCACTATTTTCTAAGGCTTTTGATCTCAGCCACTGAAATAGTGGAGTGGTCATTTACTGAGGCTGGGAAGACTGTGGGAAGAGCAGGTCGGGAGCCGGGGCTGGGATGAAATCGAGAGGACATGTGTGTTAAGTGGAAGGTGGATACGTGAGTTCTGTGTTTCGGGGAGGGGTATGGACTAGAGATACCAACTTGTAAGTTGTCAGAATTTGAATGGTATTTCAAGGTACAAGACCAAAAGACCACAGAGGAATGAATACGGATAGAGAAGTATGAAGTCAGCCCTGAGATCTCCAACATTGAAAGGCCACAAGAGGAGGAGGGACCAGGAAAGGAGATGGAGAAGTGGAAGCGAGGCAAGAGAAGCACAAAAAAGAGGGGTTTCTGAAACTTCACGTGCAAAAAGGAGGAAGTGATTGATTTGTCACTTGCTGCTGATAAATCAGGTAAGATGAGGACTGAGCATTGCAAGACTAGATTTAGGCAATCGCTAATGTCCTCGATGAGAGCTATGCCAGTAAAGTGGTACAGATGAGAGCCTGTCTGAAGTCTGTCCAAGAGGAGGAAAGGAAAGAAATTGGAGACAGCAAATATAAACAACTCTAAAGGAATTTTGATCCTACACCATCTTTCTAACAGAAGTAAGACTCAATCCGTCTATGTCAAAAGGTTGGAAGACAAGGAAAAGTCCTAACAAGGCCTGTGTCAATACATTAGACACACAAAGAAACGTTGAGCAGAACATGAGCGTCAATAACCATGAGTTCCTTTGTGCCGTGATAATCTGCTGACTAAGTGCACTGCCAGGGAAGAGTTTCACTACTTACATTCTCATATTCATGACTTGAGGAGAGGTTTTGGCTGGTCCTTTGAGCAAACCTAGGATAGTGTGATAACACAGCATGATTACCCTACAGTGAGAACACAAATGCAAAAAGTAAGATGACTTTCTTGGTCTAAAAACAAAACTTAAAATGTACCTTCAGGCTGCATAAAAATATGAATTTATGTAACAATTGCCATCTGGTTTCAGTGCCCGCCCCCAGGTCATGATGCCCAAATACCAAAGAGAGTAAAGACAAAGCACTGTGCCTTGGCAGTGGTAGCCCTGAGACCCGGGAGTGTGCGTAGTATACTAGCAAAAACGGAGCCTTCAGTCTTGCCATCAGAGTAGCTACCAACCCATCATTTCCTGAAGGATGAGAGGGAACGCAGAGTAGAGCTTAAGGAGGAGGTGGGGAGCGTTCTGGTTCTGGGTAAGACGGAGTAAACACACTTTGCCCTGTCTCCTACTGAATGCAATAATAAAATCTGGACAGAATGCACTGGGCAAATATTTGAGGACAGAAAAGTAAATAGTTACAGGCTGACTGGGAAAAAAGACCAGACCACTGAATCATTGGTGAACTTACCATTTTTTTGCCCCCCTGATATTCTCTAACCTGAATGCAATGCAGCCTAAAACCCAAAAGTGGGCAGTGAGGACAGACAGAGCTCCAAGAGAAGGCCTCTTGTTCTCACTCAAGGAGCAGGAAAGGGAAATTCTAATGCTCAGAGAGAGTGTGGAAATCCCTCACCCCTTTTTTTCCTCTTCTCTCTGTTCTCTCACACCCCAAACCCTTGGCAATCCCAAGGCAGCTGCAGTGACAGCAGAGGCAACAGGGACCTGTAGGGACTTAAAACTCTGAGAGAGGGGAACCTTCCTCTCCAACAGGTGGAACTGAGATCCTAAGAGGATGGAGCAAACTTGCATTGTTTCTTTTGTCTTTTCTGTCCTGCCTGATGCAAGCAGTTGAGGAAATGCATGGCATAGTAAACCTCCAGCTTTCTGACTGGAAACCTGAAAGGGGAGTCCCAGGAATGCACAGTACCAGAGAAATCACAAAAAAGGAGGAATTCAGGAAACAACCTCGTAAAGTTGTTTATGAAATCCTGGACTCACCTCCTGATCTGTGCATCTGTGGATCTGATCCCAGTCAGGATGCCAAAGACATTGAGAACTAAACACACAGCCTGCTGTCTAGACCTTAGACTGACCACTGGGTGGCGCATATGTGAGGCAGATCTGAATAGCACTGCCAAGGCTCTGAAAATTTAACTGGACTGGAACCACAGCACACAGAAGGCAGGCTGAAACTGTAGCATGAACCTAACGAGGTTGTTTGCCTAATAAAATGCCAACATTCTCAACAGGATTTAAATAAGATCAAGTATTTCATAACATTAGAAAATGCCAGGCCAGCCCCAGTGGCCTAGTGGTTAAGTCTGGCACACTCCACTTCAGTGGCCCATGTTCGGTTCCCGGCACGGACCTACAGCACTCGTCTGTCAGTGGCCATGCTATGGCGTTGGCTCGCATACAAAAAGAGTAATATTGGCAGCAAATGTTAGCTTGGGGCAAACCTTCCTCAGCAAAAAAAAAATGCCCAAGATATAATCCGAAATTGGAACTGGGAAAATTTCAACTTGCAAGAGAAAAGACTGATATCAAGAGGGCATAGATGCTGAAATTATCTCACAGAGATTTTAAAGCAGTTATTATACAAATGCTTCAACAAGCAACTGTGAACACTCTTTGAAAAAAAAAAAAAAGGAAAAATAGAAACTCTCAGCAAAGAAACACAAGATATAAAGAAGAGCTAAATGGTAATTTTATAATTGAAAAATACAATAACTGAAATTAAAGCAAATTGACAGAATGAGCTCAATAGCAAAATGGGAATGACAGAGGAAATAGTGAACTCAAACATAGATCAATAGAAATTATCTTAAAAAGCAGAAAAAAAGTGAGAAAACTAATGAACAGAACCCTAGGAATCTATGAGACAATGACAACAGGTCTAACATTTGTGTCATCAAGAGTCCCAGAAGGCCAGCAGAAAGTGTATAGTGCTGAAAAAATATTTGAAGAAATAAAGGCTAAAAACTTCACAAATTTGGTGCAAGACATAAACCCACAGATTCAAGAAGTTCAGTGTAGTAGGTTGAACGGTGGCTCCCAAAAAGTTATGTCCTTGTCCTAATTCTTGGAACCTGTGAACATTACCTTATTGGACAAAGGGTCTTTGCAGATGTAATTAAGTTAACGATCTCAAGATGGTGACCTCCTGTATTATTCGAGTGGGCCCTAAATCCAATGACAAATGATTTTCAAAAAGAAAATCAGAAAGAGATTTGAGACACACAGAGGAGAAGGCAATGTGAAAGTGGAGACAGAAAGTGGAGTGATGTGGCCCTAGCCAAAGACGCCAAGGAGTACCAACAGTCACCAGAATCTGGAAAAGGCAAAAAAGTGGCTTCTCCCCTAAGATCCCTGGAGGGAGTGCGGCCCTGCTGAATTTCAAACTTCTAGACTCCAGCCCTACAAGAAAATAAATTCCTGTGGTTTTAAACCACCCAACTTGTGGTAAATTTTTTTATGGTAGCCACAGGACACTAAAACACTGAACAAATCCCAAACAGAATACACCAAAAGAAATCCATGCCCAGACATAGCAAACTGTTCAAAATCAGAAAAGAAAATTTCCTGAAAGCACAGCCAGAGAAAAGAAGACATTATCTATAGGAGAACACAATTTGAATGAATGTAGTTTTCTCATTAGAAACCATTTAGGCCAGAAGAGAGGGAAGCAATGTTTAAAAACTGCTGAAAGAAAAGAACTGTTAACTCAGAATTCTATATCCACTGAAAATATCTTCCAGGAACAAAAATGAAATAAAGACATTCTCACATGAAGTCAAACAAACAGATTTTCACTGTCAACAGAACCTCTCTAAAAGAATTGCTAACAGAAATTCTTCAGAGAGAAGGGAAATTATACCAGAAAAGGAATCTCAGATTCCTTTTCTGGTATAATTTCCCTTCTCCTAAAGAATTTCCTTTAGCATCTTCTATTGTAGAGATTTGGCTAAAGGAAATTCTTTAAGAGAAGGGAAATTATACCAGAAGAAAATAAGAGCAACAGAAATGGTCAATATTGGGTAAATAGACCATTTTTCTCAAGTCCTTTAAAATATATTTGAGGGTGGCAAGCAAAAATTATAACATTGTTTCGTGGTATTTTTTCCCAATGTATATAGATGTAATATATACCATAACTATAGTATAAAGGAGGATCTATAGCCAAATTTTCTACATTTCACTTCAAGTGGTAAAATGCTAGTGATAAGTAGACTAAAAAACTAAGTACCTATATTGCAATCCCTAGAGCAACCAGTCCCTGCTTCCCCATATAAAAACTATACCAAGTTATAGTCAAAATCACAGTAGATAAAATGGAATACCTAAAAACGTTCAAATAATCCAAAAGACTGCTGGAAAGAGGAAACAGAGAAAAAAAAAAGAAAGGGAACAAATAGAAAACAAATTATACAATGGTAGCCCTAAACCAAACATATAATTACATTAAATGTAAATTGCCTAAACATACCAATTAAAGACAGAAATTATGAGAATATAAAAATGCACAACCCAACTATATGCTATCTACAAGAAACTCACTTCGAATATATCAATATAGTTAAGTTAAAAGTAGAAATATGGAAAAAGATATATCATGCAAACACTAATGAAAGAAAGCTAGAGTGGCTATATTAATAGCAAAGTAAACAATAGGGCAAAGAAAATTACAAAAGACAAAGAGGGACATTACATAATGATAAAAGAGTCAATTCACCTTTTAGCACTAGGGGGTTTTTTTTGGGTGATGGAACTATTCCGTATCCTGACTGTGGTGGTGATTACAAGAAGCTATGCTGTATGTTAAAATTCATAACTGTACACCAAAGGAAAAAAAGGGTCAATTTTAACATATGGAAATTTAAAAAATAAAATTAAAGCACAGAAAGAAAAAAGAGAGCAGGTACTGAAATCAGACCCACTTGAATCTGAATCCTGTTTCTCCACTAGTGGGGCAAACTTTGGCAAGTTAATCTTCCTCAGCCTTGGCTTCTCATTTGCAAAATGAGAATGACGGGGGTCCCTACCTCATAGGTCTATTGGGAGCACTGGTAAGTAACTGGTAAGCATTTCTTATTCTTCTTAGCCTGTTGACTGATAAGTGGGCTACAAATGTGACCTATGACTTTATCTCATCATCGTCGTTTTTTCAATGATCTTTGCTATTATGAATAATTCTATCACTCATTTGTTCTGTGATGGTACACAAATTAAACTGCAAACAGAGGGGAGGAAAAATCTCAAGACGCTAAGGCATTCTGATGACTGATTTTGCCTCTCATATGTGATGTTCAGCATATGATTTAACCCAGACACATGTCCTAGGCAGCTTTAGTGCTTCAATTTCTGACACTATAAAAAATTGGTCTAATTATAGCTTCACTCACGTGCAGATCTTCCTTGACTTACAATGGGGTTATGCCTGATAAATTCATCATAAATTGAAAATATCTTAAGTCGAAAACCTATCAGACATCACAGATCACCCTAGCCTACCTTAAACATGCTTAGAACACTTGCATTAGCCTACAGTTGGGCAAAATTATCTAACACAAAGCCTATTTTATAATAAAGTGTTGACTATCTTATGTAATTGATTGAATACTGTACTGAAAGTGAAAAAAAAAAAAACAGTTGTAAGAGTACAGAATGGTTGTAAATGTATCAGTTGTTTATCCTTGTGACTGCATGGCTGACGGGGAGCTGCAGCTCGCTGCCACGGCCCAGCATCACAAGAGACTATCGTACTGCATATTGCTAGCCCAGGAAAAGATCAAAGGTCAAAGTGTGGTTTCTACTGAATGTGCATTGCTTTCGTACATTGTAAAGTCAAAACATTGTAATTCAAACCATCCTAAATCGGGGACCCTCTGTATAAGCCTTTTTTGAAAATTAGAAAAAAATAGAAACAAAAGGCTGAGATAGTCTAGAAAACAAAATATTATTGATATTAAAGAGTATCTTTCATTCCAGTGAATTCCAAGAACTATTATAATTATTTTGATATCTGGATCTTGGGTGGGTGACAATTATAGGATTTCTAAAGTATGACTGGCAAACCACTGCTTTATGATTCTGCTGCCTTTTAAAAACTAAAGAGTCCTGCTACTGAATCAGCATTTCTGAGGGCCAGCAACTTTACTTTTTTTTGTAATGGGATTTCATCTATATCCTCCTTTCTCCTATTACCCAAGAAGATTTGCAGGATAAAGGAAAACAGAACTGGCTACTTTAGACTACATTATTTACTAAGCAACGTCACTGGAGATCTGCCCTCAATATTTCAACATTCACTTAACATCACACATAGTCAAGACCAGAGGTAGCCAACTGGATTCTGACCCAACTTAGTGGTTCATGAGATAACCATTGACACTCTATTGTGTCCCAGCACAGCACATGAATCTTTCCTTCCTCCTCTTCTTCCCTCATACTTTTTTTTTTTTTGCTTTTTTCCCCAACTTGATTGTCCTTTCTCATTCTCCTTCCTCCCCCCCCCCGCCCCGTCCCTACTCCTTTTTTAATACAGAAAAGTAATTGTCCCTATACACCTTTTTATATTGACATCTGAACCATGGAAATGCACTGCCTATTACCTAAAATATATGCATTTAAAAAGAAAAAAGAATATAGGCTTTGGTATAAGGCAAATCCCACTTCTGTTTATTTTTTGCTCTATCTACTCTATCCTGCCCCTTCCTGACCTTAGGTAGCCATGCTTTTTTAGTTTCTTCTGCATCCTTCTTGCATTTCTTTATGCAAATAGAGGCAAATAATATATATTCTTATTTCTCACTTTCTTACACAAATGCAATATAGTATACAAACACTACTTTGCACCTTTTTTTTTCACTTAATAATAAATATATTAGTGGTTGTTCCTCACATAGAGAACCTACTTTTTTCCCCCTAGCTATATAGTAATACACTGCATAGATGTTTATTTAACCAATCCCCAACCAATGGGTACTTGAGTTGTTTCCAATTATTCGCTATTGCCCAAATGTGGTAAAGAATAATCTCGTAAACAACTCATTTTGCATAGGTAAGAATTCCTAGAAATGAGATTACAGGTTCAAAGGTAAATGCATTTATAATTTTAATAGATATTGCCACTTGCCCCTCATAAGAACTACATAATTTTGTGATAGTATCTGTCTTTCCACAGGCAAGACAGGCCTGTTATCATTTGGACTTTTCCCAGTCTGTGAGGTTAAAATAAAGTCTCAGGCTGCCCTCATGGTGTTGTGGTTAAGTTTGTGAGCTCTGCTTCGGTGGCCCTGGTTTGCGGGTTCGGATCCCAGACACAGACCTACACCACTTGTCAGCCAAGCTGTGGTGGCGACCACATACAAAAAAGTAGAGGAAGATGGGCACAGATGTTAGCTCAGGGCTAATCTTCCTCAAGCAAAAAAAGAGGAAGACTGGCAACAGATGTTAGCTCAGGGTGAATATTCCTCAGGAAAACAAAAAAGTCTCACTGTAGTTTAATTTATATTTCTGTAACTATAAGTAAGGTCGAGCATCTTGCATATGTTTAAGGGTCATTTGTATTTTTTGGTGAACTATCAGTTCATTAGACCTGCTACTTAATAGCTATATGAACTTGGGCAAGTTCTATTCCCTAAGTCTCAGCCTTTTCTCCTATAAAACAGGAATAATAACAGAACTGACTCAAGAACTTTTGCGAAGATAAAATGAAATAAACAAAAACAGCTTAGCAAAGTGCCTGGCACACAGCAAGTGCTGTGTAATTGGTGTGGCCATTACACTTAACAATTTTAAACCTCATTTCTCTTCCCCTACCTTTGTCATTGTATTTCCCCTACCTTCTGTTATCACTAATAAATAACAGAAACAAAGACAACTTATTGAAGACTTATTATGTATCAAGTGCTACACTGGAGTGTTACATATAGCATCTCACTATATCTTTGTAAGAATCCTAGGAAGTATTCTTAGAAGAAAAATGAAGGCTCATGCTGGTTAAGCTTCTCATCCAAGGTCACACAGCTAGTAGGAGGTAGTGCTGAGAGTCTAATTCAGGTCTGTTTGATTCCTAAGTCTCTACTCTTTCTACTATGCCATGTTTTCTTAAATATGAGGAATCAGAATGAGATGGTATCAGTTCTGGAGCATTACGGACACACTTACAGGGATGTTTCTGTATTTTCCAAGTCTAGCAAATCCATCTGTGGATGAAGACTGGGTTTCACTTTGTTTGTTACAGCAGGACTTGGAGAAGTGAAACCTAGAATACAAAATAGATTTGCTGTTTGGCTTCAAAACATTGTCAGTCAGTTCTGTTGGATGTTCCACAGTAAAAAAAAAAAAAAAAGAAAAAAAAAAAATTAAAGAGATTGAGATGTTTCTGTCACTATAACATCATGGGATTTCCTCAACCAGAAATTAAAAAGCATCATTTATGGTAATTGGAAAGAGAGAAATTCCTTGCCACAAAAAGAGGTTGTCGAAAAGGTAACAAATGTTATTTTATTGGGTTTTCTAAAATCCCAAGCTGATCCAGAATGGAAGAGATTTTACCTGTATGGTTCTGCCAAACACAAAATTTTTAAAGCTATGGTGTATATAGACCTCTACCCTCACCTCCCCAAGCTCTTAACTTCCTACAATCCTAAGCGAGACACCCCAAAGGAAATAATCATTTCCTCCCCTCTAAAAATGCCTGATAAAAACTCTTTCACGTAACGGACTCCACACATCCCATTGGTCTACATAAGCAGCCAACATTTTAGTTATGGGGGAAGTTATACGAAAACCACAAATTCAGTGATACTGAATATTTTGACTCTGGAAAAACATGCTAACATAAGAAAAACAAACTGATTTTAGTTTGGCAAAAACTTCTGAATTTCAGCATTTTTCATCCTTATTTTGTAATTTACCAAAACTATTTGGGAATAAGGACAGTAAGAGATAACAAATAAGATAGATAAGATAGTTAACCCTAAGCCTACAAAGAACTTTGTAAATGTTATTCATTTACCTTCACAGCAACCCATTAAGCAACTATTGTTCTCACTTTATAAAGTAGGCAAGTCTCAACGGCTGGGTGGTTGAGATGTGGCAGAACTGGGATTTCAACTAGGACTTCGACTCACAAGCCTGTGTTTTTCCCTCTGCATTTCACCACCATGTGGATCAGGCCTCATAATTCCTGAATTTCTCCATCTGCATGGAACATTCCCTTACCTGACGCTGTAGCAGAGCAGAGAAATCCAAAGATAATAGTGAGTGGGTTGGTTCAGAGAGGATTTAAGTATTGGCCGTGAAGCTGAACAACCTCCATAAAGCAGGCTAGGGGAATTCCATGAGATTCTAACCAGTGGGATGAGTTTCAAGGACCTCCTCCCCCAGACATATCCCATTCCTGCCCTGGATGTGACTCAACCATTTGCCAAGAAGTAATTACGTCTCCTGATATAGTTCTCTGATATTCAAACTGACTTCAGTCCCTTCTCAGGTTGCATTTAATCATGAAACCAAGGAGAACTGTTTCACATCAAGCTCTTCTGCTGGTCTGAAAAGGCCCACGTGCTTATTTACTTAAGTCTGAAAGCTGAGCATTCAGGGAGCTGAATTCTCCCAGAGGCCCCCCTGACATCGGAAGGCTGGGACTCAGGTCAAGGAGATCACAGGATGGGGCAGAAGGTTCACTGGTAGTCTAAAAGCAAAGCAAACAGAAACACAATTTAGAAAAAACGTGTCAGGTCGTTTATCACGGCTTTCTCCCCAGAGACTTTCCTTTGGAGAAGGGAAGATCCTATTTGGATGCATTTTCATTTCATCCATATTGCCATTCAACAGGCAACACTAGTACTATTCACATCTCACCATCTACATAGGTTCCCGCTTAATTAGAGAATCTTCTTATGACCTCTTATTAATAACTTAATAACATCAACTTATTAAGGCAAATACTCTACACCACTAAAACCACTCCAAATTGTTAACGAATGTCTCCTCTTTTAATACCTGTTTGAAGTAAGCCTATTTCTTACTGGACAATTCATAAAACGCGCAATTGTTTGTTTTGTAACATTTCTATTCACTTACATTGGCGTCTTCCATCTGGTTCTTATTTTGCTCCAAAATCCTTTGTTGGTTTCGAGTAAACCTGTTTGAATTAGCAAAACACAAGTATTTAAAAGAAAAACAGATATGAAAATGCTACAATATTTAACAAATTATTAATATGCAAATATTTAGGAACAATCGGCTTCATCCCCATTCAATTCCCAATAAAGTACTTTAATAACGTTTTTCTAGTTCATAGAGGTAATAATGCCTTTAGAGAAAATTGTGAGAAAATGGACAAGTATTAAAAATATGAATAATAATTCCATCACCTAGAAATGGTCCCTATTAACATTATAATGTATTTCCTTCTAGTATTTCTTTCTGTAAGTTAATCTATTTTAAACTTAGTTGAAGTTATACTTTACATAATTCTACATCCTAATTTAATTATGTTGTGAGCATTTTTATAGTTATTCAGAAATATAATTTTTGGTGGCTGCATATTTTATCTTATGAATGTATCACACATTTAACTATTCTTCTTATTCTCAGATATTTAAGTTGTTTCCAATTTTGCCATTAAAATTTTCCAGAAAAATTCAAATACATTTAAAGTACCTTCACTGTTTCTGTTCATTTGTATAAGATACCTGATACCTACTAAAAATATTGACCTTTTACAACTTGATTTAATTTTACATTGCTTGTACACTGGTAGTGGGAAAGGAACTGTTAAATAAATAAAAGAACAGGTTTGAAAGGGTAGTGAAGTTGAGGCAGAAGTCCAAGGTTCAACTCTCAGCATTATTATCTAGCAGCTATCTGACCATGGATATAACTTCCTGATCCTCAGTTCCCCATCTGCTAAAAGAGAATAACAACATTTGAACCATTTGCTCCCCAGGGACAACATCTAGATAGATCATGCACGTGGATGAAGACGGAAATGCTTTGCAAACTAAGAGTTGCTTTAGAAACATACAATATTACTATTATGACACATTGACTCCATGAACCTAAACAAGTCTAAAATCTTACACTGAATTGGAACATGCACTTAGGTTTAAGGATTTTCCATTTCTAAAACACATGTTTTTTCTTCCGTCTACTTATTGTCTTGGCTTCTTGTATGCTAGCTAGTTATGTGCTGGGTATGAACAACCTTCACAGATAAAGCCTTGAGTAACAAATTTCCATTTCCTTATTTGCACAAGTATTCCCTGGTTGTAATGAGTAGAGAGCGACTTTGGGGGATGTTGGAATAGGGTCAAAGTATTTCACATGTGGGATGGATGTGAGTCTTTGTGAAACAGAGGGCAAGCTGTGATAGGCAGAACGATGCCTCTCCAAAGATATCCACATCCTAATCAACAGAACAGTGAATACGTAAGGTTAGATGGCAAATGGAATGAGGTTGCTAGTGAGCTGTCTTTAATATGGAGATTATCCTGGATGATACAGACGAGCCCAATGTAATCACAGAGATCCTTAAGTGTGGAAGAGGGAGGCAGAAGAGGCAGCAGAGTGATATGCCGTGAGAAGGACTCGATCGGATGATGTTGGCTTTGAAGATGGAGGAGAGGGGCCATGAGCCAAGGAAAGTGGTCAGCCTCTAGAAGTTGCAAAAGTTAAGGAAACAGACCCTCCTCTAGGGCCTCCAAAAAGGAATGTGGCCCTGCTGACACCTTGATGATAAACCTGTAAGATCCATTTCGGACTCTTAACGGAACTATAAGATAGTAAGTTTATGTTGTTTTAAGCCACTAAATTTGTGGTAAATTGTTACAGCAGCCATAGGAAACGAATACATTAGAAGTATCTTTTCTAGAGGCAAGAATTTTCCTCTAAATCTTAAGACATGTTTCTGTGTCACCATTAACTGCAGTTGCTTTTGGCATGGTTCAAAGCTGAATCAGAATGAGCCATTCACAGAGGTCATCCAATCTCCTGATATTAGACCAAATAAACACCCATTCCCTCTCTGAGGAAGCATTTAGTTAGTGGTCTTGTAATAGAAGTAACCAAAATAAAAACCAGAAGGCAGCACTACACTGAAAACCACGTGGTTTTCCTTAGATGTTTTCTGCTTGCAAAGATTTATACCCAGAAAACAAAGGGCAAGGACTGTGAGTTTGTTCAATGCTAAGAGAACACTGGTCACTGGGTTCATATCCTCGGTCGATGCTCTGTCATCTCCCCATAGGACAGGCTGCTGTCCCTGATAGTGAGGTAGTGGAGGAGAGAACTTATCACTTCTCAGCTATTGGTTTTACTTCACTGCTTCTCTTGGTTCATTCATAATCAGTGAAAAGAAATCTAGTCAATAAATTAAAAGTGGGACAATAACAGAGAGAAGGACAAGAAATTACTTTTTTAATGAGTGTCAATGTGCTAGCACTCTGCTAGGTGCTTTTATATATATCATCTTATTTAATTCTCAAAAAAAAACCCCAACGTATTGTTAAGTGAAATAAGCCAGACAGAGAAAGATAAACATTGTATGATTTCACTCATATGTGGAAGATAAACTAACACCAGACAGAGAGAACAGTTTGGTGGTTACCAGGGGGAAGGGGGTTGTGGGGTGGGCACAAGGGGTGAAGGGGCGCATTTATATGGTGACTGACAATAATGTATAACTGGAATCTTACAATGTTATAAACTATTATGACATCAATAAAAAAAATTAACAACAACAAAAAAACCCAAAAACAAACAAAAAATCCTCCAAATAGGTAGTATTATCCTCTTTAATAAACAGGAAAAAAACTAAGTCTTAAAAAAGTAACCAACTTGTCTGAAATCATCACTGAGATTTGAATCCGGGCCTGTTCACCTCTTTCCCTTGTCACACTGGTCTCATTCTTCATCAGCTGGTTGGAAATATAGCCTCTGCGCGATTTACACGTTCCCAGTAATTCTCAACAGAAATGGTGCCCCTAAGGGTGTCTAGAAATGCCACTTTAGGAGGAATACTTGCTGCATTTAGTGAGTAGAGGCCACACAACGGAAAACCCTCCCACCCAAAATGCCAACACTGCTCCTACTGAGAAACAAGATCTAGAAAAAGTGTGGGGATTTCAGAGGCTCCAGAATTTCCATGATAGGAAGGCCTAGGGATAGGTTTTCAAAGAAACCAGGAGACTTGCCTGAAGCTACGTTTTTACACGTCACTTTCCATTAAGACTGAGGAAAAAGCCACCTGTCAATCAAAGCATGCTGCAGGTTCCGGGGCTGGGTGCTGGGTGCATGCTTGCTCCCCAAGTCTCTCGTCCTTTCCCATAGCTTCACACGCTGCACCTGTGCTTGCTCTGCTCCTTGTTTAGTCAACTCCTACTCCTCAGGTGGTTTCTCAGCTTAAAAGGCACTTCTTCACAGAAGCCTTCCCTCCCCTCTCCCAACCTGAATTAGGTCTGGCTGTTATTCTCACCACAGGTCTCCTGTACTTTTGTTTCACTGCACTTATTTCAGTTTCCAAGTTTGTATATTTATATATATGATTTAAGGTGTTTTCCTGACTATAGGCTTAACTATAGATTATAATAGATTATAAGACTACTATTTTGATGAATGAATGAGTTAGAAACAACTTAAACGCCGAATAAGTGAACTGTGAGAAAAACATGGACCACTATGCAGCTATTAAAAATAATGGCTTATCAAAAGCATTTAAAAACATAGGATACACCAATACTTGCTATATAGTGAATAAAATCAAGGGAGAAATAAAAGTTTATGTTGTTTATATGATCATAACTATATAAAAAAGTTTAGGAAAAAAACTAAAATGTTAGTGACAAAATTAGGAGTATTTAAAATTTTTGCCTTCACACTTTTCCAAATGGAAATTTTTAAGAATCTATGTTCATATACAAAATGTCCTCACTGGCTGCTCTGGTTTTGTACAGACTATTTTCTCCACATAAAATATCCTCCACTTTTTACCATTCCATGTTCTTCTCCATCTCAAACTTAGGGTAAACCTCTCTTTTACTAAGATGCTTTGTTTATACCATTCATCTACTTGAGAGCCTATGATGTGTTCAGGGCAAACAACATTAAGTGAATAAGATCCAGGCCCTGCTTACAGGTTAGGTGTTTACACCACCCGAAATGCCCAAGAATGCTCCTAGCAGTGCTCAGATATGCTCTCCTTCTTGCAAGCCCCATCACAAGCTCCCAGAAGGCAGGACCAGATTCCGTCCCTTGGGAGGAAGGCGGCCTTGTCCTGAACTTACTCTTGATCTTCCTGAGTGTTCACCTTGTAGGCAGTCTAATAAGAATGCTGAGTAACTGGGGTAGAACTAGAATTGGAGGAGGGTTGGAGAGGGGGCACCGCCTGCTCACCTCTCACATCCAAGGATGGCATTATTCAAATCCTCATTGACTTGAATTAGCTCAACTGTTACGTCTTCATTCTCCACCACCACCAGCAGGTCCATGATCCTCTCCTGCATCTCCCGACCAGTCTTATAAAGTTTCTGCCAAAGAAAGGAGAGAGATTTCCTCTTCTATGCTAGGAACGTTCTACAAAGACAACTGACTTGCCAATCCACATACACCTGTGATCACCTCTGCACTGAGTCACCTATGGGAAATGACCAAAATATTTAACTACGGACAGCTCATCCTTATCAGAAGGCAATGAGTTATAAATGATGGTATTTTCCTCTAAAAATCAAAATAGGTGTCATAAGAACAATATGCTAAACTGTATGTAACACTAGACTAGAAATTAGAAGTGGTGTATGGGAATTCTAGAGGTATTGCTTATTAGCCATACTATGTAGAAAAAAAAAATCACTTGTTTTCTAAATCTCAGTTTTTTCGTTTGATAAATGAAATTATACTACTTGCCACATCTACGACAAGGGGGGACATAAAAATCAAATGAGATGCGTATAGAGGAACTCTATAACTATAAAGCACTACATAAAACAAACACTATTGTCATTATTAGTGATAGTGGAAGAAAGAAGTAGTTAAAAAACATTTACAGGAGCATAATTTTCCTATTATGTTTTACTTAAACATTTCAAGTTTACAGTTACAACATCACATTCCAAGGTAAACTGAACCAGGATTAAAAAACTAGTCATGGATACTATCCTCATTCAGACTACCTAGAATGACGGCATTAAGCTAGGGCTCCACTCCCCAAACCAGCTTTTTCTCATAAGCATGAGAGGCACCTAGGGCAGACTTACTGATTCAAAATCTCTAGGGCTGAGGGTCTGGGAATCTACATTTAGCAAGTATCCCAAAGTGTTTATGTACACCGACCTTTGAAAACTGCCTTACAACTTACTTCCTCCTAGGCAAAGCTCCAATAAGTCTGAGGAGCATAAAACGTATTAATATTTCTTCAAACCCACCTTGGCTAGAATTTATAAATGTAACAGTACATCAACCTCAGGCAAAAACACAGGGACGTTTCCCTTTTCAAAATGAAAGCAGCATAACTTGGTAAATCATCACACTATGATATTATCTGATTATTTTTTCCCCTCAAGAAAGAAAGACCCACTGAAAAACTTATGTTTCACAAAACCATTTAGAATCTCAAACAATCTATTGCAAGACTCCGGACAGGAAATCTCTAAATAAATAAATCAAACCATTACTAGCTGGCATTTAGACTCAGAGGTAAAAGCCACTACCCTTCACAAAATCATAAGAAAATATTTAGAAGACAAAAGAAAAGGAAGAAAAAGATAGAAAGACAGACTCTGGATTTTATACCTGCAATGTGCAGCCAGAAAAACTGTCTTATTTGCTAATGACTTGCCTACTATCAGCTGATGTTGACAAACTTTTTTCAAAGGTCCTGACATTAAATATTTTCTGCTTTGTGGGCCGTGTGTTCTCTGTCGAAACCACCCAACTCTGCCACTGTAACATGAAAGCAACCATAGACAATATGTAAACAAATGGGTGTGGCCATATCCTAATAAAACAAAGACACGTGGCGGGGTAAATGTAGCTCATTTATGGCCCCCTGGTATAGTGCAAAGAGCACAGACTTTAGACTCAACAGACCAATGGCATCTCCCATTACATACCTGACATGGCATTTAGTTAAATTTTAGCCTCAGGTTTTTTAAATTATTTTTTCTTCTATAAAATAAGGGTAGGGAAATGGTGCAGTTGAAACCCTACCATGTCTGGCACACAGTGAGTAGTCAAAGAATGTATTATGGTTGCCTAGGGAGGTATCACTAGAAGCCTAACTCGATAACCAATACAATCCTGTAATACTTGCGCCATTACCCAGGACTCAATGTTAACAGAGGAAAGAACTAAGATGAGCATTTGCTATAACCTCCATAATGAATGAGAACTTTTCCATTGTTCTTGTGTTAGTGAGTATAGAGAACTGTTCTCCTTCTTGTTCACTGGTAGCTTTGCTAGAGCAATGTCAAGATCAAGGAAATACAATGGCTGTTAGATGCCTATGATAAAAATGTAGAAATTAATTTGAAGTGAATTTGCAGCCAAAATCAATAGCCTGTGGTCACATGAAGACCTTCCCTTTGCCCTCTCAAGAGACAGATGGAATGGAAACATGAAAGGAGCACCACATCTCTCAGCAGGATCGCAAAGCAGAATTTGAAAAACCTCTTCAAAAGCCAGCACGCTCTGATCTTTGCAATTGATGTCTGTCTCAGAGGAGGGCCAAGCCATCTGGAAACAGTGAGATCAAGCACCGTGGTCCAAAAGGATGGGTCAGAAGTTCCACACAGCAGGCACCTGGCAGGGCTGTGGATGTGGGGAGCCAGCGGGAGTGAGTCACACACCGAGTAACAGCTGCTGGTGCATATGCCCAACATGGAGCTCCTGGAATCACCTCCCTTTACACCATATCAAAGCAAAGGCAGGCTTCTAAGTTAAAGCCAATTTAACAATCAATTCAAAAGTCTTTGGAGCAAAACAAAATGGAGCTCATTAAGAGCGTCCTCTTCTGACATCCAGATGGCTCCAACTCCTCCACAGAGCACTCAGGAATTAAGGAAGGAGATCCCTCTGCACTTTCCACTCCAACTGTAATCCTCCCACATTCACCAACACAGAGCAACTCAACAAAATGAAAAACAAAAGTGCCTGAACATCTCCCTTGAATAAGTAAAAACAGGAAGAAATGTGTTTGCTTGAAAGCCCTCTCTGGAAATAATATCTGTATCACAAGACTCCTATTATCAGCCTATAACATATTTCCTCTCTCCCAGTACTTGCCACCCAGACTCCAAGAGAATCAGAGAATATCTCTATCTGCTCAAAAAACAATTCCACTCTACTCTAAAAATGAACATTTCTCAGCATAACTTGCTCATACAGTCTTTTTTTTCCCCTCATACAGGCCTCAGATGAGTGAATGACAAATTGTCAAGACAATCCTCAAAGATCATTAAAACTCATTGGAACCCTTCCAACTCTTTTTCCCAACTAAATACCGTCAACATTTTATTTACTGAAAGCCTTTGTCTTCAGTAACTCCTTAGTCCTTTCATCCTAAATCATTAATTCTTCAAAGAATATCAATCAATCTATTCACCTCAACTGACATTTAATGAACTCATTCAGTGTACAAAGCACACACTCTAAATATGCAGTCATACGGATTTAGAAGTACAGAACTTGGTTACTGCCTTCAAGTTGCTTCCAATCTAGCTAGAGAGCTAATACAAACCCGCATGAAAAGACAACAGATTAGCCACCTATACTAGAAAGTCAATCCTAGGTTCAAAAATGAGAAACAAGTTGGTATAACGAATAGAACCCAGGCTCAGGAGAACGAGGTTCTCGCTCCAGCCCCATCCCTTGCCACTGTGTGGGCAAATCATCCCCTTTCTGAATACGTAGCCTCATCTGTAAAAGAAGGGAGATGGTCTCAATGACATTCAAATTCCCTTCCACTCTTAATACCTTACAAGTTTCTGAACGGGACAGACAGTAAGAGTGGTCAGGGGACGATGACTTTTTATTTTACTCTGAGGTTTTTTTCTCAACTGGTTACAAATCATTCTCACAGGATCAGATTTTAGATTCACAGGATTTTAAACTTCTCTAATAAATTAGAGTAAGGCTCTCTCTAGATGTACGTTCAAAATCAGAGCTCACTTTATTCTAAAGCAGATTAATATTTTCTTCTTTCATTGTCCTCCCGGGGCTAGGCAAGAACAAGATAAGAAAGACCAACATGGGAGGTACCAGGGAAAGTCAGCTCTTCAAGGTTAGGGTAAGAGGGCAAACTAGAAGACTTTCAGTCTCCACCCCTAATGAAGTTCAAAGTCCATGAGCAACATAGTGGTGGGAAAGGTGTTTACAAGGCAAAATAGTTTTATGCCTAAGAGTCTAACATAGAGCAAGAGCCCTGTAATTAGCAGGGCTTCAGAATCTAACTGTCCAGCGTGGACTGGAGAAATGATCTGGGATTCCAAGTAAGTACACTGGATTTCAGATGGAAGGAAACAGATAGGGAAGGGGTTCCAAATAAACGGAACAGCTGCTAGAAGTTACACAGCAACAGAAAAACAGGAAGAGATTTCAAGCACAGAGGCTGGTTTTAATGTTAACAAATTGCATAATAAGACTGTGATCACTGGTAAAGTATATGTCCAAGAAGAGCCAAGGAATTTATGAGTAGAGACTTTTCCTATGTGCTGGACACTTTTCTTTTGCCCTCTACATCCACTGTCCACATACTCTGCCCTGCTCTGTGCTCTGGGGGCTGGTCCATGGGAAACACACCACCAGGTCCCCTGCCCTCTAGCTTCTGATTGGGTTCAGCCAACAAGACGCACTGGCAGGAAGTGGGAGAAAGGAGAGTGAGGTCTGGGTGTTCATTCCCTTCATTCTGTCCATCAAAGGCACCACCATTCTCAAGGCTGCCTTCTCCATGTGATTCTTTACTTTGGCTTCTAGCAAAAGTTCCCTCTTGACTATTTATGCCTAGGGATATTAGTTATTTGCCCAGGGTAGTGAACTATCTCCTGTGGTTTCTCTGTACCCTGTGATATCTCACTAAATAAATAGTGCCTTGATTAAACTCTCTTCAAATTACCCAAATTGAGTATGCCATCTGTTTGACTGATAATCCCTACAAGGCATGAAAACACAGAGTAATTAAAATAGTATCATAGTGAAACAGGGACAGAGAAACAGATCAGAGAACAGCTTCTGGAAAGACATCCTTGTATTAGAATATAGAATGTGACAAAGGGGTGTTTGAAATCCGTGGAGAAGGTATGAATTGTTAGTAAGTGTTATTTGGACAACCAGCCATCTAACTGAAAAAAGTAAATGAAAGTCAAGTCTCTAACTCAGACCAAGGATAAAGATTTTTAAACCACGTAAAATCTAGGGAAAATCCATTAATTTATTAAAGATATTTTTATTGATTGATTACATCATGCCAGGCACTGCTATGGAAGCCAGAACCTCAGCAGTACACGAGAAAAGCCCTGTGCGGTGTCCATTCTAG